TTCTTAAGAACGATGGCAATGTCAAATCTAATGGTAAGAATTTTTATTTTAGTTTTGTAAATATATTAATGTCCATTTTAAATAGAACGTGAACACACTTTCTCTAAAGTCGATCGAAATGGATTTGGATTCTCTTCGTTTGAAAAATATTCGTTTATTAAAGATCCAAAGAACAATTATCTCCATGAGGGTCACCAGTTGGTCGCTCGTTGCAAGGTTTGATTTTGTTTGTACTTCATTAAACTTTTCACGTACATTTTTTACTTTAGGCCACTGTCAGTTACAACGAAATCCAAATTCAATCATTTCCTGTAAAGGACGGCATCAACAGTGAAAGTAAATTCAAGTCAAATCAAAAGTCTCTTTTGGACAGTGGCGAACTGAGTGACTTTACTATCGTTGTTGGCACTACTGAAATTCCAGTTCATAAATGTGTCCTTTCGGCTCACTCTCCGTTTTTCAAAGCTATGTTCAGTCATGACTGTACGAAAGAAGCTCAAGAAAAGAAAGTGATCATACCTGATGTGTCGATTGATGCTATGAAGGACTTTCTGCAGTTTATCTACACCGGTGTGAAACCTCAAAATGGCAGCTTATCTCCGGAACTTTTGACTTTGGCTGACAAGGTAAGCAAGGTTTCATTAGGTTGTCTTAGTTAACCATTTTGTAATTTTCAGTACCAAGTTGGCGATTTAAAATATCTTTGCGCTGATTACCTCTCATCAGTTCTCACAATTGACAATGTCGCCAACGTTTATCTCGTTGCCGATCTGCACAATGCTTCTGGTCTCAAGGATAACTGTTTGGCTTTTATGGCTTCCAATTTCAGTCAGGTTCTACTGTCCCAAGGATGGCTTCAGATATGCAAAACCGGCGGAGAGAAAATAACTGAAGTTTGCAGTGTTATTGGCGATATTCTCCGCCCCAAAAAAACCTCTTCTAAAGATAATTCAGAAGAATATGACTCAGATGAAGTTCCCGAGTAACGATTCAATGTTTAAAGCAAAACTGCCAACAGATTACATTCAAAGCTAAGTTTTCTCCATTTCGTTTTTTGTTTCTGTACATGCACATT